CGATTCCTATTATTTGGCAATTTTATATACATACGTATAGTATTAATCGAGTGATTCTAGGCTTTGTGTAACAGATACATCTAGAATCATCTGATCATTGATTCTATACTAAAAATGGTGCGATCGACACTATCCAAATATGGAAAAATCCCGGACTGTAGTAGTTCAAGGGATGGGAATGTTGTACCACAACCAGAGTGATGTGAAAGGTAAATGGTAAAGTTTTCTATAGGACTTTGTAAAGAGGATTTCAATAAGGCTTTATTTGAAAGAGGCACAACTTCTAATATATATGAGGATATATTAGGTTGTATTGTATGTTTTACTAACAATTTAGTTAACAATGGACATCAAATTACGTGGTCATGTGATAATGTTCAAAAGTATTTTTATTAATAGATAACAAAATTTAACGTGTATGAAGACACAGTTGCTTTATCTAACCGATAAAATAACTAAATAATATAAAGAAGATAAAAAAATAACTATTTCTATGGGTGAGAATTTTATATTAAGGAGTTCTATTTTGCAAGTAAGAGAAAAGCAAGGGCTTTTTATACATATTTTGGGGAAGTATCTATTTCTACTTTATTCTCTCGTTGGTGTTTCTAAATTTACAATTAATACATCTTTAATTTATTCTTGCTTCCAAGTGAACCTCTAAATTAGTTTCACTATTATTTACAAGACACGATGTATTCTGCGCCTTTAACTTCGCATTGTTAAGCAGATCATGCATATTTATAGGCATACATGACTACGGCATTTGGGAACTAAAGAGACCTGACTTTCTAATGTAACAAGTTCTCTCTAACTAATGACGAGCCCCATGCGTCAATATTCTATAATAATTTTTGGGTTGTAAGTAACAACTTCTCACCATAAATGCACCATTGGCATCACTAGCATCAGTTGATAATATCACCTCAAATTTTGGTATATAAGGCCAGTAACCTATAGCAAATACTTTCAAAAGAGCAATTGCAGTAATTTTTTGCAATGCTTTTTGAGTTTGCTAATTTAATACATTCGCATTAAATAGATCTTTCATAGTATTATTTTAGAAGAAGAGCATTTCGTGATATATTGAGAATCTGACCCTCTAACATACATAATCAATACACATTTTGTGCAATATAGTTATGTATGACGAAAGGTCCAAGCCACTACGATAAGAATTTTCCAGTATGATGCCCTATTTGAGCGGTGTTAAATAAAAGTACTTTATCTCTATTTTGGAAGATTCTAAGTACTTGTTTAAGTTTTCTGCCTCAGTAAAATTTTTGCCTATTTTGGGCTTTTTTAATATTATTTTTCGCAACTTCTCTTTTAATAGGTAGGTCGTCAATAATCGTGGTTAATTGGTCGACTATATTTTCTTGAATGTTATTTTCTTCCAGAAAGTTCAAAAATCGGGCTTCTCTCCCGTAGATTAGATAAAAAGACATGAATTTCATTGTGGACTGCTTACTAGTTCTATAGGCGTAGAGCACCAAAGGTATAAGGGTATTCCACTCTTGCTCTTGTTTGATCAATTTCACCAAAGACTCACATAAGGTACGGTTGTAACCTTTCGACCAACCTGTTGGTATAGTGTTGATAATAAGTGCTTTATTTCAAAATTCCTTACTAAGAAGCGAATCACTTCGTTATTGAAATGTAGGCCTCTATCTGATATTAGATAGAATGGACATCCATGTTAACAAATGATTTCATCAAAAATGAATCATGTGATTTGTTAAGTATCAGCGACAGGTACTGCTTTTGCTTCAGGCTATTTAGTCATATAATCAACTGCTACAATTATATATTTATTCTCTTTTGTAGTTAGGTTTAAAGGTCTCACAAAATCAATACCAATTTTGTGAAATGGCGCTTCGACAGGTATGGGTTGCAAGGGGCCGCGAGTTCTATATTTTCTGCATCTTTGGCATATATTACAGGTCTTGATGTATTCTTTTACCGAATCGTACATCTGAGGCCAATAGTAATGATTCTTTATTTTTTTAAAGGTCTTCTCTACCCAAGATGGACTCCTAATGAATGTGTATAAGTGATATATAAAATCGCTTCTATTTTATATTGCTGTATCACTTTTAATAATTGATTTTTTGTTTGTTTTCTTTTATCTCTTTTATATGAGGTGATTATATAGAAGGTAAAATTTGCTTTGTGACTCTAGTTGTTTCTTCTGTTAATTGTTCCACTTAGGTAGATACTGTGCTATTTCTAGGTATTGTTGAATTTGTTGATATTTAATGGATTGCATGTTTTTCTTTTTTTTTTAATAATATGTTTTGTTATATTTTATGTTGTGCTTCTCTTTTATAATTTTCAGGAAGTTATAATGTCGGTTGTAGTGACCAACTTGCAAAGTTTTTTGTCTTTTGTGGATGGATACTTAAGGTTTAGGTTGTACCTTAAAGGTACTTAACTGAATTGGCGGCCTTCTACCAAATAGAGTTACAAAAATAAGTGTTAGAGAAGTTGTTAAATTCTCTACAATAATGTTCAGATAGTTTTTCTAATAAGTCTAACCACCAAGGTAAATCATTTAGATCTGTTGGAAATGGTATTGTGTTTTCTTCTTCTTCATCAGTAATGTCTAGTAAGAGATTTTTACTAACACTTTCACTTTCCCATTGCTCTATAGAGGAATCATCAATAAAATTAAAAGTGTTCCAGGTAAAGTTACTCATGGATTCTTTATTACTCCACATATAATCATTTTCATAGTAGTAATTAACTAATTCCTTGTCATCTGAAGTTACCTAGTAACATTTGGTGATTTCATCAATAGGAGATTTTTTTAAAGTGATCTATAACTTTAGATTACTATGACACTTGCTATACTTATCTGATAGTGAGTATAACTTATCATCACACCAACATTGGGCTGTTGGTCCTTTTAAGTCTCTTGTTGGGTGTTTTCCTTTGGTTTTTCGCTTCAAGCGATCACTGATGTGCTTGATATAATACCATGTGCAATATAGTAGATTCCCTTCTGAGTAAACTTAACATTCTCATATAGACGGAGGTACTCTGTCAAACCTCTAGATAGGTTATAGCTTAGGGTCTTTTTTATCACTTCCCTTCAATTGTCTTTAACTAGCCTTTTATTAATTTGCCAAATTATTTCTGGTGCTTTTAATTCTTGTAAAGAGGCTTTACTTTCAGTATCAGTGGGTATGAATCGATCTCCTATAAATTTCACTGTGATTTCACTTTTCACAGATTTATTGTCTTCTGCTTTTGCCATATACACTTCTTGCGGGTCTTCTTTTTCTTGAGTATACATCCTTGATAGAGTGTTAGCATTGCTATGCTTTCGGCCAGGGTGGTGTATAATTTTAAAATTATTCGGTTCCAATCTCATAATTCACCTTGCTCGTTTGCCTTTGAGCTCTGAAGTTCTCAGCTATTGAAAAGCCGAATTGTTAGTTATTAGATAGAATAATTTTGATCCCAAGTACTGATGAAAATGTTCGACTGCCCAAATTATAGCCAAACATTCTAACTTTGAGATTGAGTAGTTCTTTTCAGGTTTGCTTACACTTCTACTTGCATAAGCAACAGTGTACTCCTTGTTATTTTCATCAAATTGGGCCAGAACAGCTCTTAGTCCCGAGGTAGATACATCCGTATGTAGATAAAATAGCTTACTATAGTCAGGATACCTTAGAATCGGGGCTGTTATCAGATGATTCTTTAAGGTTTGAAAAGCTTTATCTTGGTTTTCTGTCCAGTGATAAGGCTTATCCCTGTTTAGCAATATATTGAGGGGTTTGGCTATCTTTGAGAAACCCTTAATAAACCTCCTGTAATACGATGCAAGTTCCAAAAATGATTGTATTTGTTTAAGCAACATTGGAATAGGAAAGTTTTTTATTTTATTCAGTTTTTTCTTGTCCAGATAGATCTCTTGATCACTAACTATATGGCCCAAAAATTTTATTTTGTTTAGGAAAAATGAACATTTTTCCAAGTTACACTTTAGTTTAGCTTTCCTAATTTCGTCGAAGACTTGTTGCAAATGTTCCATATACTCTTCAAACGTTTTAGAGTAGATAACAATATCATCTAAATAAATGACAATGAATTTGTTAATAAACAGGTCTAGAATGTTATTCATTAGTCTTTAAAAGATCGAGGGCACTTTGCACAAACCAAAAGGCATTACATTGAACGTGTAAGTGTCAAACTTTGTTATAAAGGCTGTCTTCTTCTTATCTTCTTCTCTGATAGCCACCTGCTAGTATCCACTGGCCAAGTCCAAGCTGATAAACCACTTGGCACTTTCGAATTCTGATAGGACTTCATTGATGTTTAGTAAGGAGTATATGTCTTTTTTTGTAACTGTATTTAATTTGCGGTAATCGATATATATTCTCTTTTTTTCATTCTTCTTAAATACTAGGACCACCAGAGAAGTCCAGGGACTTTTAATTGGAAAAATAATACCATGGCTAGAATTTTATTCTTTAGAAATTCTTGTTTATCATGGGCCACAGTATATGGGTGTTGCTTAATTGGTTTAGCACTCTTTGTTTTTATTTTATGACACACTAAGTTGGTCTGCCCTAGGCCAACTGTTTGCCCATTCTTACTAATCTTTTCTGCAAAGACTTTTGCATCTTTATTAATTGGTCTTCTGCTTGCTACAGTTGTTGGTTATTGAGATTTGGGTTTACTTCAAATGCTTTTATATCTTTTTCTTTTTCTTCTTGCATTGTTGTTTCTGTTAAGTAAACTGCCGGGTTATCCTCTGTCCAGGGATTATAATACAGGTCTTCTTCTTCTTCAAAGAATAGGTTACTATAGAAGGCTTGATGAACTTTATCGTCTTGTTCTAGTTCATCTATCTAGTTTTCTTTGTCGGTAAATTCTTCTAGGTCTTGCTTATAGCCATCACCACTTATATGAGTCATGTTTACTGTCACTTGTTTGCTCAAATATTTGACAATTAGAGTGTTATTGTCAAAATTGAGCTTGGCACGTGACTTGTCAAACCAGTCCATGCCTAACAACAAAGTTTCCTCCTGTGAATCTATAACTTGAGGTCTATAAGTATAATAAGGTCCTGTATAACTATTTTTACTTCACTGATTATTCCTAAGGCCTTGGTTCTATTACTATTGGCTGTTATAACAATGGTTTTTGATGCTTTGTCTATTTCTAGTTCTAGTTTGTCTATAAGTTTCTTAGTAATAATGCTTACCGCCGCACCAGAATCTAGAATGGCCACTACAGGGTTCTTTTTGATGCGTATATGACACCGCATGGCAATAGTCTTGCGTTTTTCTTCTGCCTTCACTAGGTTGGCTTCTGTGTTTAAGGCTTTTTTCTGTCTAAGTATCATTGCCAAGTTTTATCTTTGACTAGGATATTGCAATAATTGTCCTAATGTTATCCTGGCAGGCATAGACAACAAGTCTTTGGCGATATTATAAGGCTTGAGCCTGTCTATTTCAGAAAGTATTCGTTATTTATGACTTTTTTTACTAGAGTATTTTCAAACTCCATAGGGTCTTCTATGTCTTGCACCGGGTCCGTAGGTGCTTTAATTGGTAAGCTCTGTTCCTTTTGAGCTTTTGCTTGTTTTTGTTTTTCCTTTTGGTCTTTTCTATTAGTACTATAAGACTGGGGCAGTTTATATAGACTTTTTCTATATCTTCTTCTTTAGCCAGTTCTATTAAGTTGATATTTTTGCTATATTATTATTAGGTTTCTTTAAGACTTGGTAGTGTACATCTTTCAGTTTTTCAGACATACACTTGTTTGCGAAGTGTCCAACTTCGCCATACCTAAAGCAAGTGATGTTTTTCTTCTTTTTCTGAGAAGATGATGATTGTTTAAATGTATCCTTTTTCTCTACTTGAGCTAGTAAGGCTGAAGTGATAATAGCATAATTGAAGCTCATCTGCTTCATCTGCTTTGTTAACTGCTCAATTTGTTTTTTGTAGGTTTTGGATTCGGAAGGTTGGCTTGGATTTGTATTATAAGTGAAGTCGGTCCCTTGCTCATGATGCCTGGCTAACTCTAGTGTTGTCTGGACCATAGCAGGTTTATGTATTAAGATTATAGGCAACATGTCTGACCTTAGGCTCTTTTTGAAGTAATAAAATTGGTCTTCAGCCGGTACAGCGGCAGTAATTCCATTTCATTCTACCATTTTTCTAAAATGGCTATGGTATGTGTCAACTGATTCCTACTCTTGTCTCCAAACATTTTTCTAATGTTGGTTATAAAAGTGGTTCTTGAATGCTTTTTTTGTGTTCTCCCAGTCCACTTTAGTGTCATTGGTTGCTGCATTATCTTTATAGTATGTTAGCTGCCAATCATCCACAGCATCTCTCATAAAAACTGATAAGATCTGTCTCATTCTTTTTTCACTCCAATTATTAGCTGCTGCTGTTTTCTCGAAGTTTTCCATCTAGGTTAGAGGGTCTTGGGAGCCATCTCCCTTAAAGAATTCAACACGGATCAGGATACTTTCTTTTTGGTTATCTTTAAGATAATCGAGTACGTCTTTGGTGAAGGTCATGTTGACTGTATTAATATTTGTAGTAATAAGGTTAAATGGGTTTGTTTGAAAGCACTGGGTATGTAAGGCTACGTTTGTAATTACTTTATATATTTCTATAAAGTTTTCTGGATTTTGTATATATGTAATACTAAAAATTAACTTTGTGATTATATTTCTACAACGCGAGGACTATGGTTGCTGAATCGCGGTTTCTAGTTCTTTAAAATAATGGCATATTTTCGCTATAAATATCTTTGTGAAATACATAGAAGAATACCAACTTGCAAATTGGTAAAAAGTTTGTAATATCTTTGTAGAAGGTGGATAACAGAGTTCACAGGAGTCTTGTTTATTATATAAATGTAGGGTTAAATAATCTATCAGTTCTGTGTTCTTTAAACTAAAATTCATACACTAAATCTATGCAGTTCTTTTCAATAATTGTTTTGTAGAAATTCAATCTCACGATTTAGATGACTAGTAAATTTAATCTCATAGTCACCACCAAAAAAGTATCACATCTAAACTAACTTTTTCTAATAGTTCAAGAGACAGGAACATTGTAGTCTACAAAACCACAATCAGGGTGATGTGAAAGGTAAATGGTAAAGTTTTCTATAGGACTTTGTAAAGAGGATTTCAATAAGGCTTTATTCGAAAGAGGTACAACTTCTAATATATATGAGGATATATTAGGTTGTATTGTATGTTTTACTAACAATTCAGTTAACAATGGACATTAAATTATATGGTCACATGATAACGTTCAAAAGTATTTTTATTAATAGATAACGAAATTTAACATGTATGAAGACACAGTTGCTTTATCTAACTAATAAAGTAACTAAATAATATAAAGAAGATAAGAAAATAACTATTTCTATAGATAAGAATTCTATACTAAGGAGTTCTATCTTGCAAATAAGGAAAAAGCAAGAGCTTTTTATACATATTTTGGAGAAAGTATCTATTTCTACTTTATTCTTTCATTGGTATTTCTAAATTTACAATTAATACATCTTTAATTTATTCTTGCTTCCATGTGAATCTCTAAATTAGTTTTGCTGTTATTTACAAGACGCGATATATTCTGCGCCTTTAACTTCGTATTGTTAAGCAGATCATACACATTTATAGACATACATGACTGCAGCATTCAGGAACTAAAGGGACCCCGACTTTCTAATATAACAATAGTTTACGGTTTATGGGATTTTGATACGTAAAAATAATGAATATATATATATATATATATATATATAATTATTAAAATACAATTTTTATTAATTAAGGAAATTACTAATTATTACATATTAGCTAATTAAAAATTGGTTTATTACTAAGTAACAATTTAGTATATATTTGATATATATTTGAATTCAACATTATATATTACAATTTTGTCTTTGAGGTGTTATGAATGTTTAGTGCGAAGATACTTATAGTATGTTATTAATTTTTTGGTCTGTTCTAGGTATTAGGTGATTATTAGTGATAAGATTTTTATTGTAAATTAGAATTATAGGTTTATATAGGCTTGTTAATGTTTGCTTCAAACTTATTTAATCTAGAAGATCTAGAGTAAAAAAGTATTAATATAATTGGTTTAATCTAGGTAGGTAATTATATATGCAAATTAGGTAGTTAGATTAGTATAGTATATATAAGTGCTACCAAGGGAAAAAGGCCAATCAGACTTTTAATATATTTTGTGAACAGTTAGCCGTCTATGAAAAGTTTATCATTATAATAAATTTTTTATAGATGTTTAACTGTATACAAAATATATTAAAAGTCTGATCGGTCTTTTTTCCTTGGCAGCACTCATATATGGTGAAATCTTTTTTTAAGTATATTTTTTATGTATAAGTGTAGATGCTTTTTAAATGCAGAGATAGTATTTGAGTATAACCTTTGTAAATATAGTTCTTTTGTTGTCTTCTAGTTGTATGGTTTTAAATTCTGATTCTGATTTTGTGGAGCTAGAGAGGTTTTATTGTATATGAATGCTATCAACAGAAAGCTGTTATCGGGCTTTCAATGTTCAGTTGGTTTTCTGTATGCTGTCTATAGACAATTTACTATCTGAATAGATTGCTCATAGATAGCATACAGAAAGCCAACTAAACATTGAAAGCCCAATGACAGGTTTTCTATTAATAGGACTCATATAAAGATTAGGTATTATATATTAGCAATAGGTTTTATAATTTTGCTTATCTATATAGATTTGAAAATCGCTTTATATTATATTGATTTGTGTAATTACTGAAAATAACTAATAGAAATTTCATAATTTTGAATATTATTGTAGATACTGATATATTTTAGATTAAGGTGAATTTATTATATATTATTGATATAATTTATTGATATAATTGATAATATATATATATATATATAAATAATATATGTTTTTTGATTAAATAGAGATAAAAAAAGTAGATTAATTTTGGATAAAAATTTAAAAGACTATACTATACAGTTGAAAATACTTCAGAATATACAACATTATTTATTTGAGTAATATTAATATTTTTATCATTATTATTAGAAAGAAGAACTTTAACTAAACTGTAAGAAGTAGCTTTCAATAGAGCAACATATAATTGACCGTATGAGAAAACAGGTTCTGGCAAATAGAGGCCAACTTGATTCAAGATTTGACCTTGCGATTTGTTAATAGTCATAGAAACGTAGAACGTACAGGGAATTGGCGACGTGTTAAAGCAAATGGTAAATCAGTATCAGAAGGTGAAATTGTGATTCTAGGTATGAAAACACGAGTACCAATATATAAGCCTGTACAAATTTCAGCATTTATTACTTTGTTATATAGATTATGACAAATTAATCGAGTCCCGTTGCATAGTCCTTTTGCAAGACTTAGATTTCGTAAAAGCATTATGGATATTCTAATTTTTAGTTTTAATTCACCAGGTGGAAAGCCAGAAATCTTTACAGATCTTAAAAACTCAGGAGAGTATAAATGGGATTGTCTATCATTGCTATCTTCTTGTGAATCGACAGAATCTGCTCTTAGATAGGTATGAAGTTCACCAGGAAATTAATCTATTATAAGATCTGAAATTTTACTCGCATCGTCATTTTTTGAAGTTAATATAGTTCTTTCAATTAAATAATTTATATCGGTAGAATGTTGGGTAAAATCTGAATAGGTAAAATCAATCAGATCTGATAATTTTTGACCAGCTATTACTATATTTGAAGAGAGTTCTATTTTATTTTTGATACCGGGGATGACTGGATATCTTCCATTGCCTATTTGTAGAAGGAATTTAGCAAATTCTTTCTGCTTTAAGTTTTTATTTATGTCATTTATCTGGTGAAATCTTATATTAATTGTTAATTTCATTACTTTTAGATATTGTTATAAAGAAGATTAGAATAAGCTAGCAGAGACGACTTTAGCACGAGACCCATGAGATATGACTGGCAATACTTGATGAAAATTGCTGCCAAAGACAAAGATTTTTTTGCCAAATGGTTTATTTACTTGAAGAATGTCTTGTAATGTATAGTCAAGTACTTTAAAGGCAAATTTATTAACTATTGGGGCTTTATCCCAAATGAAAAGCTTTGTCAAGCTGATTAAACGGGCTTCTTTGCTATTTCTCAAGATGTTGCATGTTGAGGATTGATCAGGTCTTAGTGGGATTTTAAAACAACTATGAGCTGTTTGGTCGCCTTTTATTAAGAGAGCAGCAATTCCCAAAGATATGACTGCTAAAGCTATATTTCCACGTGATCTAACGTTGGATAATAAAGTGTTATATAAAAATATCTTATCAGTTCTACCGGGGCCGTCAACGAAGAAACATTGACTTTCTTCACATTCAATGGCTTGTATGATAACATTAAATATCACATGTTGGTTCTCATTTAATAAAAGTAAATTTTGGCTTAATTCATGTTCTAGTTTTGTGATATTATATGATCTTTTTTTTCGTATTAGCTGATTTAAAGCATCTTCTTCGTTATAAATATTCGATGAATTTTCAGGAGGAATTGGCATGTTTGAAAAATCTTTTAATAGATGATTCGCCACTCAACAGAAGTATGATCTTAGTAAAATATGACTCAGATTACTATATAAATTTACTATAGTGCGAATGTGGCGATCATCCAAAGTAAACTTTTTTTATACTAAGGTAATCATCTTTTTTGCTTAAAAGACTTTTGTAAAGCTTGTCAAGACATATCTAATGGTGGTTAAAGTGTCAAAATCGGCCTGGTAAGTGCCAAGATATCTTTAAAAAA